GATAGATAGATAGATAGATAGATAGATAGATAGATAGATAGATAGATCAATCGATCGATCTAACAATGGACTTCCTGTATCTGTCAGCATTGTCCATGATGGAAAGCAGGTTAGTGAGGGCCCTTTTCTCTCCCACTGATGTAAGGGACTACGGCTCTATTCCCAGCACAGAACCAGCTTTCCTCACTAGCCTGTCAAGTCACCCTGCATCTCTCCTCTTAATGTGGCCTCCCCAACACAGAGCACAGAAGAGGACACTGGCTACCACAGACTGGTAGAACATCAGCAGTAGTTTTCTGCAGATACTGAAGGACCAAAGCCTCCTCAGGAAGTAGAGTCTGCTCTGACCCTTCCTGTAGAGGGAGTCCATGTTCACTGACCAGTCCAGCCTATCATCCAGTTGTATGTCAAGATATTTGTAGATCCTGACCACCTCCACATCAACCCCTTCTCTTGAGACTGGCTTCAGCGTAGGCTCAGACCTTTTGAAGTCCACTAGCATTTCCTTTGTTTTACTGATGATCAGCTATAAATAATTAGATTTGCACCACACTACAAAGTCCTCAACCAGGGTCCTGTACTTCCTGTCCTGTCCATCCTGCACATACCCAACAATTGCAGTGCCATCTGAGTACTTCTTCCTGTGGCAAGTCTCTGAGTTATATTTGAAGTCAGATGTGTACAGGGTGAACAGAATTGGAGAGAGCACGGTCCACTGCGGTGCTCTTGTGCTTCTAACCAATGTGTCAGAGACGCAGTCCCTGATCCTGAGGCTTTGTGGTCTCTCAATGAGATAGTTTGTAATCCAGGAGACCAGATGTGTGTTTACCTCCATCTCCTTAAGCTTGTCTCTCAATAGCAGGGGCTAGATTGTGTTGAAGGTACTGGAGAAGTTGAAAAACATGACCCTCACAGTATTGTTTCTCTTAGGTGAGAGTGAGCCCAGTGCATAAGGTAGAAAATGCCATTGTCCCCCCCCACCTTCTCCCGGTATGCGAACTGTAGATGGTCGTCAGCGTGGTGAACGTGAGGTCTAAGGAGTTTCAGCAGCAGTTGCTCCAGGATCTTCATCAAATGAGATGTCAAGGCGACCAGCTTGTAGTCATTCAGCTCCTTGGGGTGTGTCTTCTTAGGAACTGGAATGAGGCAGAGTGTCTTCCATGTGACAGGGACCGTCCTGAGATGCAAGCTCAGGTTGAAGACATGTTGGAGAGGCTCCCCCAGCTGGACAGCACATACCTTGAGCATCCTGGGGCACAACTTGTCTGGGTCTGCCACCTTCCTGGGGTGTAGTCTGCTAAGCTCTCTCCTCACTTGGTTTACAGTAAAGGTGGGGGGACTGTGTGAGTGTGTGTTTATGTCCTTTAGGATCAGTCTGCATGGATCCAGATGTCCTTTAGGACCAGTCTACATGGATTCAGATGTCCTTTAGGACCAGTCTACATGTTTAATTTGTTTCCTTCATTTTACACATTCTCATAGTAACATTGAAATACCCACTGATATACCTGTTGAAGTACCTATGAAGTACACACTGTAGTCCCAGAGAAAGTACACACTGAAGTACCCACTATTGTACAAACTGAAGCACCTTCAGAAATAAAAGCTGAAGTACTAATTAAATTATATACTGAAGTACACATATAATCTGCACTGCAGTCACCGCTAAATTACCTCTGATGTACACACTGAAACACCCATTGTAGTCACCTTTAAAGTACACACTGAAGTACACACTATAGTACACATTCTAGCCCCACTAAAGTACCACTATAGTACTCACTTAAGTACCTGCAGAAATACAAACTGAAGTACTCATTTAAGTATACACTGAAATACACACTATAATACTATAGTTCCCCCTAAAGTACCTCTGAAGTACCCCCTGAACGACCCACTAAAGTACTCAGTGAAGTACTTAATTAAGTATTCAATGAAGTACTCAGTGAAGTACCCACTTATGGTGGCCCATGGTGAGAATGTCCACATTCAAGCCAAAAAAATCAAAGAAATACAGAAAGTTTTCATCTGGTTAAAGTTGGTCCTAAAACAAGTGCTTTGATCCAGTTCTATTTGGTATATGCTTTGCCCTTTAAGGCTATTGTGGGTTCCTGCGTGCAGGGATAAACCCACTAGTGATAGGCTTAAAGGGCAAAGCATTCTCATAGAATCTGGGGTTACAATACATAACCAGTGTTTCTTTGATGTTTTGAACAAGTACAGCTGTAGGATGATATGGGAGACCATCAGTGGTGTAGTCTACATTGTTGTAGTGGTTATACCTCTGTAAAGTTAGTATTAACTTGGACACCGTTGAAGCCACGGAATGCGAATGTCCAAAGTCCAACATAAAGCCAACTTTACCGTGGTCGGTCCGTATATTGTGCTTAGAAACCAAAGTACACTGGTTAGTACAATGTAATCATCAAGTTACTTAGATTTTTAAGCATATTGAACATTTCTAAATTTCTCTGATGCTTATATTTGAATACATGAACAGCAAACTTTGTACAACAGTTTTGTATTAAAACATGTTTTAGAATTTATAAAACAGTATCAAAGCAACACATGTTCCACATGTTCAAGGATTAAGTAGTAAGTACTACGTTTTAATTATACAATAATTTGTTGGGTAAGCAAATGTATTAAAGGCTGCATATTGACAGATTACTACAGAAGCATTTAACTGCCGTTTAATGTACAAATATCAATGACACATGCATGTCTAGTGATATGTCACGTATCGTTGAGCACTTTATTTGGTTATACTGAAATTCTTAAGCTTTTCTAGTGGTTATACTCCATGTGCACGCATATCGCGTAGACTACAACACTGGAGACCATAGTACTCTGAGAAATACGTCGTATTTATAATAGTCTGAGCCATGATTGTGAGTATATAAAGATTATATTTTCTTTTTACTAAGTTGTCAGTAATGGGCTTCCATATCTCAGCTCTTGTTTCTGGAGCAGCAGGTGACAGAAGGCAGGTTTGAGACAGGCTCCACAGGTGAGGAGGACAACTGGGAGCTGGACAGGAAGACGGAGACAGAGTGGACAACCTGGACATAGCTTCTCGGTTGGACTTATTAAGGTAATTAGGTCACGTGAGCTGGTGACAAATATGGAACGTGCACATGAACAGGTGAACAGGTGCAGGGTGGTTCAGGTGGTTGCAGCTTTGTGTTTCTGGCTGGTTCTCAGTCACTGGATCATGGAACCACAGAAGGTTTTTTTTTTCAGTCTTGACTGTGTATCGCGAGATCAGAGCACGAAGCAGGAGTTCGGGGGAACCCGGTCGGGGGACAGAGGGAGAGGTTCTGCAGAGAAGGAAGGACGCAGACTTTTCTCCTCCTCATCCTCCTCTGGAGCAGCTCCAGATGCGCAGAGTCCAGGAGCGGCGCAGCCAGCAGGACACCAGTTGGACTGACTGTCTCTGTTTCGGGTCTGCGGACTTTTGAAACCAGTTCCCAGACTTCTGTAGAGCTGGTTCCTGCAGGGAGGCAGGCGGATCTCCTGTGGAGCCAAGGTGGAGCACTTTCTGCAACACTTTCTAACTGAGACTGGTTTCCTCTAAACTTTTTCAAAACTGCTTGTTTTGCAGCTTTGAGTCCAGCCTGCAGAAGTTCTCTGGTTCTGGGAAACGCTGAGCACATTGGACCGAGCCCCGGAGCGGCCGACATGCCGGACAGGAAGACCGGGGGGCGGCTGCTGCAGGCGGCCGCGGCTCTGCTGCTCCTCCTGGAGCTCTCCGCGGAGGTGCTGGAGCCCCAGGACGGGGTGCTGGAGACCGAGCAGACCGACAGCAGGTCCAACAGGGCCAAGAGGAGGGGAGGGAGTGACGCCCTCAGGGGGTAAGACAGCCTCAACAACAACAACAACAACAAGTAGAAAAATACAAACACTGATGGATGAACTGAGCTGCTCCCAGTGGCTCTTCATGGTCACCACAGTAACCACACATCTGTGTCTGTCACTCCCTGACTGATGAGTTAAAGAGGCAGACAGAAACGCAGAGTAAAAAGTAAGCCTCAGACAAACAGTGGTTATGTGAAAACTAAAGCTGTTAAGCAGCAGGAGGCTCTGATGTTTGTTTCTACGAGGCAAACCCTGAAATGAACATTTTGAGCTAAAACAATTCATCTATGGAGGTTTCTGGTGCCTCATTCAGACCTCGGATCTCTGGGGGATTTGAGAGGAAACCATTGGTTTTACAGCAGAGAGACACTCTGGGGTGTCTGTGACCCATTTCAACTGAATGGTGGTTCTGCTGTGAAGTCTGAGCTGGAGATCCAAACATGACGGGGTCTGCTCAGCTGTTCACCAAAATCTATTGATCTCCATTATTTTATTGTAAAGTTTGTCTATGGAAGTCAGAGCTCGTCTTTACCCATCAGGGTTTAGTCTTTAATTTGCATTTTTAGCTCAAAGCTGCGAGGCGAGACAAGTTTTACCATATTATTATTATTATTATTATTAATATTATTATTATTATTATTATTATTATGTTTCAGAGACTCTGAAAGAAGAACTTTAACGGTATGAATGCCGAATCAGCATTTGGACCGTCGTCCTGTCTTTAATTTGTTCTGAACATCTTTAGACATTAACAGCTTCAATAAACCTGCAACTATTTTTACAGTTTTTGAAAAATTAAAACACGTTTTTAATCTCAAAGTGTTTAAATAAACCAATCCCACATCATCATGTTCTGCTCGTTCAAGACATAACAGACATGACTTTGGGGTCTTGTGACTTTTATACTTTTAGAGATATTTAACTTTATTAATTTTTTTCTTTAAATTAAATTAAAAAAAAACTTTTCTCTTTGAAATCTCCAAGAAATACTTGCTCAATTGTTACATTTTAGCAACAGTTTTAGTGGTTTTAGCTACTGCTCTGCTAATTTTAGCTAATGTTTTTCTACTGTGATGGCCATTTGAGCTTTTAGCTGCTGTTTTACTAGTTTTAGCTACTACTCTGTTCATTTTAGCTACGGTACTGTTTTGCTACTGTGGTGATCATTTGAGCTTTTAGCCACTGTTTTATACTGGTCTTAGTTTTAAGGTTTAGTTTAGTTGTTGATTGTTTAGGTTTTAATAATTCACTTTTAGCTTCTTTACGACCTTTAGCTGAAACAACCTTTAGTTGTTTAGCTCTTTCGTTAGTTTGGATCCCCAAAAAGAATTGTTTTCATAATATTAGTACTTCTGAAATATTTTTATCTGCATTTATTCATGTAGACACAGAAGGAAGAAGGTCAAAAATATTTTTATCGTGTGTTTTATTAAGGCTTACTTAGACCATGAGTGACATTGTGTGTGTGTGTGTGTGTGTGTGTGCTTGCGCGCATGTGCACGTTGGGAAGTTTGTAGCAAAATTTAGTAATTAAATTCTGGCAGGAAAGCTACATTCCTGCAGACTGCAATAATAAATTACATCCAAACAAAGAAGGCCATTGGTCTTTGGGGCTGTGGTGGGGGGTGGGGGGGCTAACGACCTAAATCCTGGTTTAGTCCGATCCACCACACCCCAGTTGTGGATAAATCACATCTGCAGCTGTTCTCAGTGGGTCACAGCTGGAATGACTCTTATGACAGAAGGAAAGTACTAAAGTAAAGCAGGAAAGTTTGAGATGTTTGATGACAGTGAACAGCTGATGGGGTCAGGACGTTAACAGCTAAAGAAAGTTCCCCACAGGCACTTTTATTTCACCTGATTTATGGTCAACATCAGGGTTCAGTGGCAAGAAGTGCCTTCAGGCTGCAGACTGTTTCAAACACTAGAGTGCTCATGCTGTTCGCATCGTTCTTCACGTCGTTCTTCACCTTGTTCTTCGCCTGGTTCTTTATCTCGTTCTTCACCTCGTTCTTCACCTCGTTCTTCACCTCGTTCTTTGCCTCGTTCTTCGCCTTGTTCTTCGCCTTGTTCTTCGCCTTGTTCTTCGCCTTGTTCTTCGCTTCTCTCATCACCTCATACTTCACCTCGCTTTTCGCCTCATTCTTCACCTCATACTTTGTCTCTGTCCGCTCCTCGTTCTTCGCCTCGTTCTTTATCTCGTTCTTCACCTTATTCTTTGTCTCTGTCCGTGCCTGGTTCTTTGCCTCGTTCTTCAACTCACTCTTCATCCTTGTTCTTCGCCTCTTCACCTCTCTCTTCACATCGTACTTCATCTCGTTCTTCGCCTCGCTCTTTGTCTCACTCCACCTTTCTTATCGCC